GTGAGGGGGCTGGAAAACAAATCGTATGAGGAGCGGCTGAGGGGGTTGGGACTGTTTAGTATGAGGAAGAGGAGGCTGAGGGGAGACCTCATCACTCTCTACAACTACGTGAAAGGACACTGTAGAGAGGTTGGTGCTGGTCTCTTCTCGCAGGTAATTAGTGACAGAACGAGAGGGAATGGCTTCAAGCTCCAACAGGGTAGGTTTAGACTGAACATTAGGAAGGAATTTTTCACCGAAAGAGTGATAGGGCATTGGAACAGGCTGCCCAGGGAGGTGGTGGAGTCACCATCCCTGGCTGTGTTTAAGGGACGTTTAGATGCAGTGCTAAGGGACATGGTGTAGGGGAGGACTTTGTAGAGTAGGGTAGATGGTTGGACTCGATGATCCCAAGGTCTCTTCCAACCTCAATGATTCTATGATTCTATGAAACGTTGCTGTAAAAATTGCCTCATCTCAGCATAGGGATTTCTCTACTAAATCAGAAAGTTAAGAGCTTTGTGATTTAAGGCTTTAGGACCTTTAGGAGGTGCTTCAGAAAAAAGGCAAAAACCTAGTAGAATACATTGTAAAGTACTGTTTCTTTTTCTGTCTCCACCTTCTCTTCTTGCTATCACTTTAGTGATAAGAGATCAGAGCAACAGCTGGAGAATTTAGGGGTTTTTGGTACCTTTCAATGTTCTTGATCATTACAGAATCTATATATATACACTCAAATGTTCTTTGAGTCCTACCGGATTCTTGCCTCTGAATGTACTTGTATGACAGGTTCCCTAAATTTAATAATTAATTTTGGTACAGTACCTACTTAAATATCTTTTAATATTTTTATTCTTTGTTTAATTTATCATTTACATTTTGTTGTGAAACTTGGAATTCCAGTTCTCTCTATTTTATTCTGTCATTTTATTATTCATGTTGTTTTGCTGATATCATTTGTATCCATACAAATTCATACAAATTTTCTAAGCAAATAATATGAGGGGTTTTTTAGGTGGTTCATATGAGAGTTTTTTTCTTACATCTACCAGAATTTCTAGTTCTGTCACGCTCTCTTCTAATACAGTAGTCTGCACTGTATAGAACTTTCTAAATGAAGCTCTTGTAAAAAATTTGAGTAGTCACCCTTCCCTCTATGATTATTCTGATTGTTAGTTGTTTTGACCACAGCTGGAAATGGGACAGAGCTCTTGATAGTCCATGTTCTTTTCTGCAATAGATGAAGGCCATTTAGGGTCCTTTTTTGCTTAGAATTCTTTCTTATGGACTAACCAGTACAATTTAACTTGCATAATACTATCATAATTATAGCTCATAAGAATCCCATATGTTTAGATGATAGTTTAATGGCTTTGCATTAAAAACAAATAGGGCCTTGAGGTGGTGCCTTGAGATATCTGACAGATGATGCTCTTTCAGGGCAGAAGTCGACTACTTGAGACTGGTAGGTTTAGATTTTAGGCACAGTAATATTTAGCTACTCAGCTTGCTGTAACTTATCTTCTCAGCTATTTGTACAAGCTTTGGGCAAGGGAATTTAGAAAACCAAAGTTGTCAGCCAAATCCAGCTTCATCCAGGTATTTGAAGAAGTTATTGAAATTTGTTTGTATGGAAAGTTCCAGATGAATCAATTATGTCTTTATCTGGAAGTGGGTTTTTAATCATTAGAGGAGAAGGAGTGTTAACTGGTATGTGTAAAATTTATAAAATAGAGATGATGTTACCATCTTCTGGTCTTTAAAACAAGCTGATGGGAGAGCATGCTTTGGCTAACTGTTTGGCTGTTCCGGGCTCTGGATCTACGTGCCTGCTGGTTGTCTGATCAGCAGATCAACCAATGTGATATCATGAGTCTCTTAATTTCCTTGCATGCTGGAGCTTGCAGTACACCATGGAGTTTGTACTGCCTCTGGAACTTACGTTGTACTTAAGAGTTGCATAAAGATTTTGAAAGCTCATCTCTTACTTGGCTGTCACAGGCAACGCCTGGGTGTTTTCTGTTAGTAGCTCAAGAACTTGTGAATTAATAAGCTTTTGTTTTGAAATAGATTTGGCAACTCGTTTTTTTTCTCTTTTTTTCGCATTTCATCCCAAAACTGAACTGGGTGCTTTCTGATAGACATTGTTCACACAAGGAGTCCTTCTTGCTACTAGCAAGATTCACAATAAAGACTTTTGTGCTACAAACACTGCAGCATTGCTGATATGACTTAAAATACAAAACCAAACCACATTTTTGATGGCTAAACTTCCTTCTTTTTATAAGCATATATGGTATTATCTGAGCCATACATATATTTTCTTCAGAACAAATGATATATTTTAAAAAGCTGACTTCCAAAGCGACAGCTGTGGCATGACGTATAGAGGCACCAGTGTAATAGTTGTGCTCTAATAGCAGTGCTTGTGTAAGAAGTGTATTAACAGCTGCTGTTCAAAAACAGGTTCAGAATCTCAGGACATACAGATAATTTTTTCAAGCATAAGTAGTATGTGAGTTTTATATACTGAACAAATACCAGTGCTTTTTATAAAAAGGCCCTATTTGCCTGTGTTTGTAAAACAGTAGCCTTCCACCTTCTTGGAGTTGTTATTTGTGCATTCTCTTCCTCCCTGTGCCCTGGCCAATGTAATCTCTTTTTCAAGCTATGTCAGAGCAGATTTAAAAAAAATAATAAAGTGCACTGTCATGGATAACTCTAAATGGTAAGAGAGTGGTAAGATGATGATTGCAGAGTTGTTTTGTCCAAGGAAAACAATTCTATACAAGAAATAAGGGGGCTTTTATGTGTTCTTATGAGATGTGATACATGGGATATGCTCAGTAATGAATGTATTTGCTTTTTTTGCTGCAGAATGTGAATGAGCAGTACCTGGGAGATATTTTTTTTGATGCCTCATTGATGATTTGGTCTATAGCATTGGCTGTGATTACTCAGATAGGCCTTTGTTCAGCATTCATTTGTACACTATGGGTCGCATTTCCTTTACTCACTAAGCTGATGATCCATAAAGAATTCAGCCAAAAAGGTATGTGCTTTGTACAGACTGTATACTATTGTATATTGTGTGTTTCCCCCCAGACTCTGTTATTTCAGCAAAAGAAATCACACTCTGAATTTTGAATTGTCAAAGTACACATGTGACATTTTTGTCACAGTAAGTGTTCTTGAACTAAAGGCATTTTGAAAGTATGGATAGCTCTTTAAAAAAAAATACACTGAAAAACATCCTGTGTCTTGGGCTAAAAAGAACAAGGCTATGTAGGGTTATTAATAAGTGATTGGGTACTTTGATGGACAGTAAAGGTTGTTAAAAATACTGTGATATTTAAACAGCTTTTGGGACAAAATAACTGCATAAAATTTCTTTTGTGATACAAGAATGGTTTTGTGGTGTTTTTGAAAGAGTTACATTGGCACTGGCTGTGCAAAAGGAGATCCCCTGTCCATATCCTCAGGGGTGAGGATGAGTATTGTGTATTGGGCCTTGCAGCAGTATATGGATATATTAGTAAAACTGTGCGTTTATGTCCTCTTAAGCTTTTATGGGTTTTTTTGTCTTAATTTTTTTTTTCTATCCCTGATAGGTGCCACCATGAAGTTTGTCATGATGTACATGCTGGGAATGTTTGTTCCCTATCTGTATATGATGTATCTTAGTTGGACTGTATTTGAGATGTTTACTCCTATCATGGGACGAAGTGGTTCAGAAATTCTACCAGATGTGGTGCTGGCAGGATTTATTGTTGTCATCACTATGATACTGTCATCCTATTTTGTAAGTAGAAGTTGTAAATGTTTAAAACGTTTAAACTCTCTCTAGAGTTTAAAAAGCAATGTTTTTCTAAATTAATACTTGAAGTTAGTGGAATTTCGACAATATCTTAAATACTAGGAAGATTCTGGGAAAAATGTCAAAGATTCTATGTTTCATGTTAGGCAAAAAAAAGTCATTGAAGCAGGGCTTATAAAAATATTCCTGTTCTATGATGATGTAGTAAAAATTGGTGTAAGATATGCAATTTAATGCTGGAATCTGAGCAGGCATTAATTTTAGGTGAAGTATATGGCTGAACAATATGTGTACTACACTTTAAAAAAAAAAACAAAAAAAAACCCAAACCAAACGTCCTAGTGTTTTCTGCCCCCTTGCTACAAAGGTTCTAGGTTTGGGTTGGCAGATGTTTAAAAAAAATTGCTGAAAAAATGGAGAAGTACTCACTCCATTACTTTTGGGTTTAAATACTGGAAATTATGAAGAAGTGTTTTGTGTCTGGTAGTACTTAATGTTCTCTTTTTAATGTACTTTCAGTTCCATAATTGGATTTTAGAGTTTTACGAATAGTATCTTATTTCTAAGTCTTGCAGTTTTATAACTGGGATGTCTTTTTATTCTCTAGATTAACTTCGTTTACCTTGTCAAAAGTACAAAAACGACGCTAATAACTTTAACTGCTGTGTTTGTAGTCACTCTGGTTCTGGTTTGTAGTGGAATCTTCTTTCCTTACAGTTCTGATGCAGCTAACCCAAAACCTAAACGAGTCTTTCTCCAGGTAAGAAAAGCCTTGTTGTATATTGTACTGTTCCTGTTTGTTGCAGGAGTATTTGGATTTTTTCCAAATCTTATCACCACCACCCCATCCCACCCCCCCAAAAAAGTAACCATTCCTTCCTTGCTTGAATTAAAAGCTCTAATGATTATTTCTGGATTTGGAAGAATTGCTAATGTTTCCTTTGTTCAGTCTGTGCGTTCAGCTCATCTGTGTCAGAAGAGTGGGGGTTTTAATTGGGGGAGTTGAGTAGGCAATGATAATTTAAAAAGTGAATGTGATGGGAGATGGGCGGATACTTAGAGCACAGTCATCTTCTAAATGTAGGTGTTCTTACGGTATGTTTCTTTTATCTGAGTAATTCTCTTTATATAAATACTAAGATGTTCACTATGCCCAGTGCGTACTGCAAATGCAGTAGACCTTAAGGATTGACGTAGAGGATATTTCAGAACACACTTCTGAATCATGTGAATTTCGGTTTCATAGGCTCTATCATCGTTCTGTGTATTTATTTAATTTTATTTTTTTTTATTTCTAGCATACGAGCAGGAGATTTCATGATCTAGATGGAAACGTGATTAAAAGTGACTCTGGTATATGGATTAATGGATTTGATTATAACGGAATATCTCACATAACGCCGCATGTCCCTGAAATCAATGACACCATTAGGACTCCGTGCGATGAGCAGGCTCCTTTCTGTGGCCTCCCTTGGATCCTGCCAGTGCATTTCATGTTCCGGTTGGTGTCAACACTGCTTCCCTTGAGCACTTACTGACAAAGCACGTTGGTCACTTAACGTGATCTCGCTTATGTAAGAGAGGAAAAAGTAAGGCTAAACTTGGTCTAAAAGTAAATAATCCTTTCGCTTCAGAAGCCACCTGAACTTCTGTCTAGGCGCAGTGTCTTCTGCCAGAAGCTCTGCAAGAGATTGCTGGGTCTGCTGCAGGAGCTGTAGAAGTTGATTTGTGGATAATCAATGTTAGCACCAGTGGAAGAAAAGGTGAAGGGGGAGCCTTCTAAAGGGCAGTTCAGATTTGGAGTATGTATGTCTCTTCCCTTCTTCCCCCTCTCATCCCAGCTGACAGCAGAGGACATCTAGAGTAGCTAGTCACCACAGAAGAAATCTGGCTGCTGTGGCTATTTCTCATGCCCCAAGAGCCCTGTGAGCAGAAATGTAGCAGTCTGAAGATGCAAATAGTCTTACTTATTTTATTGTTTTTTAAATTAAGCCACGTGAAGGTAATGAATGAACACACTGGTGACTATTTTTCTGTTAATATGTCCTTTAAATATTTGTCTGGGCACAGTCTGCTAATTTTACCTGCCTTCTGCTAGAATCACTAGCTTCTGAATATTTCATTTAGTCACAGCACAGTTAGCTATGCTATACAAAAAATTTTTCTTCTCATCTTTAATACCTCTGAGTGTTGCATTGAGAATAAGTTAGAATATGTTTTTTCCACTCCAGGAAAAACTGGTATCTTCCTGCTCCAGAAATTTTTCCAAGAAGCCCCATTCACTTTAAAGTTCTGTCAAAGGAGTTGATGCCCTGGGACAATGTGAGGTTAAGCTTTGAAGTATCTGGTAAGCGACTTCAGCTTCTGGTTTGTGATTGGTGTTTATTTTTATGCCCATGATATATCAGGTGTTGATTCCAGTACTGCAGGTTCTAGTGCCGTTCCCAAGAGAGTGAGCTTTGTGAGATTAGCATGAATTCAGTTCTGTAACACTGTAACATTTATCTCACTGCTTTGAAATAATTCAAACTTCTTCAGTAGAGAAGGCAGTGGTATCATGTTTTGGAAAACAGGCGTAGTAACACACCGGTAACACGCAGGAAAATAGATGGTTGTTCTGGTTCCACCTGTTGGTCCATCTAGATACATGTCATAGAATCATAGAATTTCCCAGGCCGGAAGGGACCTCCAAAGGTCATCTAGTCCGACCTCCCCGCAGTCAGCAGGGACACCCCCAACTAGACCAGGTTGCCCAGGGCCTCATCGAGCCTCTCCTTGAATATCTCCAGGGATGGGGCCTCAACCACCTCCCTGGGCAACCTGTTCCAGTGCTCCACCACCCTCACAGTGAAGAACCCTCTCCTAATCTCCAATCTAAATCTGTTCCCCTCCAGCTTGAAGCCATTGCCCCTCGTCCTGTCACTGCAGGCCTTTCTAAACAGGCTCTCCCCAGCCTTCCTGTAGGCTCCCTTCAGGTACTGGAAGGCTGCTATTAGGTCTCCCCGGAGCCTCCTCTTCTTCAGGCTGAACAACCCCAGCTCCCTCAGCCTGTCCTCGTAGCAGAGGTGCTCCAACCCCCTGATCATCCTTGTGGCCCTCCTCTGGACCCGCTCCATCAGGTCCATGTCCTTCTTGTATTGAGGGCTCCAGACCTGCACACAATACTCCAGGTGAGGTCTCACCAGAGCAGAGCAAAGTGGCAGAATCACCTCTCTGGACCTGCTGGCAACGCATCTTTTGATGCAGCCCAGGATGCGATTGGCCTTCTGGGCTGCAGCTGCACACTGCCTGCTCATGTCCAGCTTCTCGTCCACCAGCACCCCCAAGTCCCTTTCCTCAGGGATGCTTTCCAACACCTCACCCCCTAGTTTGTATTAGTGGCGAGGATTGTTCCAGCCCAGGTGCAGAACCTTGCATTTACTCTTGTTGAACCTCATGAGGTTCACCTGGGCCCACCTCTCCAGCCTGTCCAGGTCCTTCTGGATGACATTGTCATGACATGGATGACATGTCCTTGTCTCTGCAGGTCCAAGTCACATGTCTCTGTATGTCCGGCCGCACGAAGGGTCGGCTCTGTCCAGCTGGTCCCTCGGGGACGGCACGCCGGTGGCTAGCTTAGGAGGAGACTACTTTGTGTTCTACTCCCACGGGCTGCAGGCTGCGCCATGGCGCTTCTGGATAGAGCTGACGGTGAGTATGCTGCTGCTGAGACCCAGAGATCCCTTGGTCTGACCTGTGGTCACCATTTCTGCATGCTTTCATGAAAAACCTCATAATAACTTTCTTAAGCTTTGCTTTATTTGATAGATCCTAATTCTAGCTTCGCTCTCTTGGTTTGTCCCTCGGTTTTCTATATCAGCAAAAACAATATTTTTGATGCTTAGTCCACTAACTTGCCCAGCAGCCAATGGGAGAATGTTTTCCTTGTCTTGGGTTGTAAGTTTGAATTTCTCTGTTCTTAACATCATGGTTCTTGAACTTTTATCTTTGTTGCTGTTACTTCGGAGTCCTTTTTCCTCTTGTGAGTAGTTCCCTTTTCACATATTTGGTTTGCTCGATTCTGGAAAATTACAGGGAGTCTTTGATGGGAAACTTACCTGTCTTGAAGAGAGTTATCAAAGCTTTGTTTTCTAAATTTTTTTTTACATTATTTTCAGTTGGAAGCAAGCCTTCCAGTGTTGCTGTTCCAGTGGGATTTATGATCTCTGCCCTCGTTAATTCGCCAAAGAAGAACTTTTTACAGATCTGTATATTTTCACTATAGGTTTTGCAGTGTCTGGTTCTTCAAGTAAATATTATAAGAACTTCCAAAAGTTCAGGAAGTCCCTTGTTCTGTCTTGGATCAGGCAGTGTAAACACTTAGCCAAATAATCCTCTGAGGGTACTTGATAAAGGTGATCAGGAACCTGCAGGGTGGCGAACTTTGCAAGATTGATAGTGGCAAAGCCAGGCAGACAAAGATTTTCAACCTAAGGATTCACAATAGAAGGATCAGTGTCATTGCTGTGTTGGAGTCTGTGTCTTGATTTGTCAGCAAAGCTGACAGATAAAGCACTGCAGTTAGAGCACGTGTGAGCTGTTTAACGTGTTGGAGGCGCTGCGGTCGAAATACCTCGTTGCAAGTTGAATTCAGATTGAACTCAGCACGTAACCGGGCTGATAGGTTTGAAGGTAGGAAGTGTTTTAACGTAAAGAGCTGCAGGGTGAAGTTTGTTGCGTAGATATTAAGTCTGTAGAAAGGTACATCTGGATTGATCTTACGTTTAAAAGCCATAAACAATCATAAAGACTGTGTTGCCCTTTTTTTCACTTTTCAGGCCCCTGAAAAGCATTCTGATGGAATAGTCTCCCTCGCCGTAGCAGCACATTACTTTTTTGGGGAAGATCAAAAGTCACCTCAGCTCTCTGCCTTACTGGAAAGTTTTCCAAACTGGACATTTTCTTCTGGTTGGTCCTGCACTTACGACCTTTTTGTCTTTTAACGTCGACAGCACGGCTGTGCCAGTAGGGTGATCTCTCTGACACAGCATGCTGTTGTAGCAGACACATTCTAACAAGACACCAGAGACTATAACAAGAATTTTAAGTACTTTTGGTGACAAATGGTGGTTTTTGGCAGTTTGACTACTTGAAGCATACTGCTCTCTTGGGGATATAGTGATATATGGTGTCAATGTGAATACAGTTCACCTTGTTTTCTTCCGCTGAAATGGCAGTTTGATTAGTGGGTTTCTTAAAATGAGAACTGCATTTGAGGAGGTGTCATTCGCATAACGTGACGGCAACTGTGGTGAAAGGGCCTCGTGAAATTATTTTTGTATTATGTAAAATATAACCATACTTTGCACACACGTGGGGTTTACTGCCTACCAATCCTGTCCGTCCTTTTGAAGTAAGACCTTCAGCTAAAAGATGCTTGTTCACATGGGGGGGGTAGTGCTGGCAAAGCTGCAAACATTACTTTTGTCACTGAAGACTATGATGCTTGTGTAGGTTGCATTTACAGTCCTTGGCAAATGCACAATGCAGAAAAATTGATATTATGATGGAATGTGGTAATTATTTATCTAGATTATTGTCTCCAAATAATACATCTCCGATAAAAACTTCAGTTCCTACCCTTTTGCCTCTATCTTCAGTGTTACAACTTGAGTGGGTAAGTTTGACCTGTCATCTTTTGGTTTTATTTCTGTTGGGATCTTTCAGTATCAGTATATAAGCATGTCACTTGCTCTCTTGTATGTAAGAGGGCTAAGTCCCCACTCCCTCATGTGGATGTCTTATTATTAACCTACTCTAAATTTAAAGTTATCTTCTAATTTATTAGAATTGGCTAGTTTTTGGTATCTCCTCTGGAGAGACTTTTGGTAGTGTGACAGTATTGCACTTTGCTAATACATTTAACCATTTCTTAAAATACGGTTTGCTTTCCATAAGGAAAAATACCAAGAAGAGTCATCTTTAAAAAGATGTCTAATATGTCTGGATTGCTCTTGTTTTAATTCCACAGGATGGGTTTTATAAATGACTGTGAGTGACTTAGAATGTTGTCCAGTTTTAATTGACAAGCTTTGAGTTCAGAAACCACTGGTCTCTTTGGTTTTTTAAATACTCCCAGGTTTTTTTCAGCGCAGTGTAATAGTTAGTGTTACTTTCTGAAATTCAAAGAACTTTGTGTACCTGAAGTAACAACTTCTTGCTTTTTTCCAAACTATACATAAAACATTCTGTGACATCACTGCCATGTTACAAATTGTGCTAATTAGTATTTTGTTCATCTCATGAGTATTGCCAAATCTCATGCAAAGCAGATTTTTGCATGCATCATCATTTTGAGTACTGGGAAGTTTACAGGACATGTGAAAGAAAATTTTGTAAGACTGTGTGAGCTGCAATGGACAGCAGCTCCTGGATCAGCTGTTTTTCCTTCAAATTGTTCTGCAGTGGTGTATGCTAGTGGCAAGAACCAGTTTTATTTGTTATGATATACATTCGTGAAGATTGCAAACCGACTCATGGACTAGGGAAGGAGGTTTAATTACTGTAATCATAATGAACTGGCCATAAACCTTAAGACCAATAGTCTTTCTACATTAACATGTGCATTAATCATCACTCGATTGTATCTGATTTGAAACTACAATCCCTATATTATGCATTTATTATTTTTTTAAGAAGTACTATTAATGATTTGAAAAAGAGTTTTATTTCATAACTCCTGTGTCTTGAATATCAATAAATGTTTTGTACTGTACTCTAGCTGATGCACAGCTAGTTAGCTGAAGCTGCACTGATATTTCCCATGTTCCTCAGTTTTGATTTTTATCTTGTGTGTTGCCTCTGATTTAAAGCTTTGAAAAAGTGCTGCGTGAAGAATTTGTACTGGGAGCCAAAAAAATAAAAATGCCTGTCAGCAATTTCTGCAACTTCAGTGAAGCAATAACTTTTGCTAACTCAGGATGTAGCCTTTATTAAATAATTTAATTATGAGGGATGTCTAGTTTGTTGTAAATTTCTATCTTTGTAAATAAAGTGAAACTTAATCAGTGAAACCCAATTTTCAGCATGATTAAAGGCATATTTGAGTTGGTTTTATTCATTGCACTAATGTTTTATTTAAGCTTGGGGTAGAAATACTGTTAAAAGCCGGTGGAGTTAGGCAGCTGGAGTTAGAGCTATGTGGAAGATATGCATAGCCATTAATGTAAAATTATCTGAGCTGAGAAATTATTAAGATGAGGGCTCTGGCTGGTTGCCTGGAGAGGAAGGTTCTTCTTGAAACAAGATGTGGTATGGAAGAGTCACTGGTAGCAGAGCTAAGTATTTTTTGCAAAACTGATAGTTGAGAGCAAATTTTTGTTGATCATGGGTAGAAAAACCAGATGGAAAATCTTGCTAACTGTTCCAGTGTCCATCTGCTTTCCCATTCAGTATGAGCAGATTAGTCTTCTGCTACTGTCGTTCATTATTTCTCATTAAAAGTAGTGTGTGTCTTGCTCTGTGAAATATACAAAAAGCAAGCAGCTGGTAATTTTAAGGCTAGAAGGGCATGGGAGTAGAAAAAGTTTTCATTCTGAGCAGGGGCAGTAAGCAACCAGTTGAGTGGACTTCCCCTGTGTTCATCTGAAACAATTCACAGCCCTTTCTAAATTGCTTTACTCTTCCATATTGCCCAAGTTCCTCCCCAGCTTTTGGTGGCCTTGAGGCTCTTATGTTCTCTATTAACATACATAGTGCTCTGTTACCTATCTATAGGTAAAAGAGCTTCAGAAATAAGTACTTTATCAACTTAAGCATGTGTTTGTGAAGGAGGCCTGTACATCTTGTGGTTATGCGGTCTAAGGCAGATGGCCTGGCAAGTAGATGTATGCGTTTGAAGAAAGGGTGTTGAGATGGGTGGGATGAACAGAATTCCAGCCATGGTACACAGACTGACAGACTGTTGAGCTGAGCAGAGCTGTTCTGTGTTAGCAAGACCTGTTTTAGTAAGTCTCTCCAACCTAGGTTGGGTTGCAAGCCTGCTGGAAAAACACTAATCAAATCGACAAGATCTAACAAGTCCATACAGAGCTAATTGTAGTGTACGGGGCAGAGCTGCTGAAGGTTTGCCTGCCTCATAATGCTGTTCAGTCTCTTTTTCCTGGGTGCTAACCCCAATCTAGTTCTTGTTAATAATCATCTAGAAGAAGCCTGCAGGATGACCCATTTTTAGAACTTGGTATAGCAGTTACATGGTTAAAAAGCCACATGAGGTCAGTAACCCTAATCCAGTCACAAAACTGTGTGGTCAGACAACGTGAAGTGCGACTTCTCTATTGAAGATAGAACATGGATTGTCAGTCTTCATGAAAATCTGTTCCAGTCTTGGAGGATAAATTAGTCATAGAAATTAGTCAGGCTTCCCACTCCCCTGCAGAGGAGGGTCTGTTGAGTTGAGACACTTTACTGTTTTGTCAAAGCTTGAGAACATGCCAAGGATAAAGCTGAGACTTGAGCAATAGGTATAAGCCAATTCAAGGAGATCTAGCCACTGCAATCTCTATTTCAAGAAGGGTGTGAAGCATCACTGTCCATTTAAAAAAATAGCTGTTTATTGGTTTTTTTTAAATTTTGTTTCAGAAAGGTGTCAGAATTAGTCTTGAAGGTTAGCAGTAGTTCATCTAGAAAGGAATAATTCTGGATTAATTCTGGAACAAATGCGAGCTTCAGAGCCAATAGGTACAGGTGAATTTAAGTAATTGTCTTATGAAGCTGCCCATGCATGGTTTATTCAGGGATGTTGATTTTTCTGTGGGTGGTGGTGTTGGGTTTCTTTTTTTGATGGGAAACAATGATAGAAAAAAGTTATGAAAGAGGGTTTAGGTGCCTTATGTCTGATCTGTTTAGCTAGATTCAGCCCCCAGTTGTGGGCTTTTGTGAAGGCTCTTCTTAGTGCTCTCTAGTAGCAAAAACTCCTTGAAGTTTACTTCTGCTTAAGGTGGTACAGAATAAATAGAAAACTCAGCAACTTGTACCTTTCATTCTGAGTTTCTATGTTAAATGCTGGAATTACTTTTGCCACTTATCATAAGCTGGCATTCATCTCCCTGCCCACTAGAATAGCTCAACAATCTTCAGCTCTAGAATAGGAAACTATGGTAAGACAGTAAGTTGGGTCTGTGGCCTTATTTTTTTTTCAGCAGAAGCCAGTTTATCTGACCCTCAACAAGTCACCCATCATCTCTTATATCACTTTAGCTGTAGAAAACTGCCCTCAGTTTATAATGAAAAGAAGGGACCTCTTTTGTACAGGTTCTGGCTGGATGATGCATTTCTGTACTTCTGTTTACTTAGCAGTGGATCTCCACCTATGGCTTACAGACACTTCGGCTCTAAAACTGCTCTGGTTGGACTGAAACACACTAGTGAAAAATATCCTTTGTTTGACAAAAGTGATGGTGAAAATTTATCCTCAGAAACATGACGACTCAAGCAGTTCTGCAAGTATACTCTGTGTGAGAGGAATTTTTAAATGGAGAACAAGGAATCCAGCATTGTTGCTGTTTTTCAGAGGCAATTTCGTGCTGGATGAGAACCAGATCAAGAAAACTTGGTGATATGGAAATGCTAGTGAAGGAGGAAATCGGCATTTTTCTATGCCATTAAATGCTAAACACTTTAGGAGGCTCATGAGAAGCAGGGCAGCCAGTTTTACATGAGCTGGATAAGCAAAGTGAGAGACCGTGAGTTGGAATTCCATAGAAAATGTTCTTGCTTAACTGGTTAAATGGCCCGTTTTTCCTATGTTAAGATTGAGGCAATAGTGCATATTTGTAGGTGAATAAACTTTTGTGGTGGGTTAACCTTGGCTGGGTGCTAGGAGCCTGCCAAACCGATCTCTCATGCCTTCTCCAGAAGGAGAAAAGAAGATGAAAAAGCTCATGGGTTGGCACAGGGACATTTATCATAGAATCATAGAATCATTGAGGTTGGAAGAGACCCTTGGGATCATCGAGTCCAACCATCTGCCCTACTCTACAAAGTCCTCCCCTACACCATGTCCCTTAGCACTGCATCTAAACGGCCCTTAAACACAGCCAGGGATGGTGACTCCACCACCTCCCTGGGCAGCCTATTCCAACGCCCTGTCACTCTTTCAGTGAAGAATTCCTTCCTAATGTTCAATCTAAACCTCCCCTGTTGGAGCTTGAAGCCGTTCCCTCTCGTTCTATTGTTAATTACCTGTGAGAAGAGACCAGCACCAACCTCTCTACAGTGTCCTTTCAAGTAGTTGCATAACAGGCAAAACAAACTGGCCTTGAGGAAAATCAATTGAATTTATTGCCAATTAAAAATAAAGCAATATAGCAACAAAGAAAAAGGAAAAAATCAGAACACCTTCCCCCAACTTCTCCTTTCTTCCCAGGCTCAACTTCAGTCGTCTACCTCCTCTTCCACAATGGTGTAGAGGGATCAGCGATGGTCCATCAAAGGTTAGGTCATGGTCAGTCCATAGGAGTTCCCCTCTGCTGCTTCTTCCTGGTGGCACTGTTCCCCTGCTCCACCACAGGGTCCCTCCCCTAGGACCCAGTCGTTCATTAACTGCTCAGCTGTGGCTCCTCCTCTGGCTGGGGCAGTCCTTCAGGAACAGAACGTTGCAGCAGGTCCCCCATGGGCCATGGTTCTGCCAGAAAGCCTGCTCCTCCGGGGGCTCTCCCTGGGATACAGCATGGATATCTCCTCTGTGCTCCGTGGTGGGTTGCAGGGGAAGAGCCTGCTTCACCATGGTCTGAAAAGATTTAACTGCTGAACAACAGTACCACAACACTAAGAATGTTAGTGCATTGGTTAATTTATGTGTTTAATTGTACAGATCCACAGGCTCCGGGGATCTCTGCTCCTCCCTCACCTCACATTTCTTCCCTAACTCACCTCCCCCAGAGCATCTCTTACCCCTTGTTACATACATTACCAGAGAGGGGCCACCAGCTTGGCTGAGGAGCTCAGCTGTCACCCATGGGGCATCTGACTCACCCAGGGACTTTACTCACCCAGGCCACCCCTGCAGCCCCCCTCGCTACCACACCCTTGCTCCCTAAACCCAAGACACCTCTTTTCAAAACAGTGGCTGGATGTAACTTCAAAGATGCACCAATATGGTAATTTTAACTGAGAAGCTTGGTACCTTCGTCCCGTGAAACAGGCCATAGCTGTATGATGTGGCCAACTCCAGCTGTCCTCATGGGGTGGTTCCTTTGCTTCTCTGAGAAAACCTACTTCAGTTTCACTTGACAGTAATTTACCGCCAACGGCTTGAAGTCAGAAGTAGTTATTTTCCACAGCAGTAACTTCAAGTAAAGTTGAATACATTTGTCTTTTAATTACAGGTATAACAGCAGTGAAATTGAAATACAAAATTAGCACATAAGATTTGCATAGAGATAATTACTACTAAAGTAGTACAAACTTCTAAAATTTCACAACTAAAAAGATTTAACTGCTAAACAACAGTAGCACAGTAGTAAGATACTAATATTTAAGAATGTTAGTATATCAGTTAATGAATGTGTTTACTTGTACAAATCCCAAACCTGAACAGCAGAAAGCTGATCAGGATGGGCTTGGCTTACATCATTACCACAGAATCACAGAAAAATATTAACTCGAAGCACAGTTTTTATTTCTTTTAACATAGATTAAGCAAGGTTTTTTATCATAAAAAAGCTTTAAGTATCCCCGTATAACAATAATGGATTTTGACGTCAGATCACAACAGGCTGTAGGTATGATAGACATGTGTAACCAGTAGCTACAATGCAGTCTAAGCTTAATGCTGGGACTCTTTAACCAGATTTCTTTCCTGTAAGTTCAATATTCGTTTTCAACTCTTAAATGGAAATTCAAGCTGCATTCACTGAAATCTCCAGCTTTCCGAGTAATACTTGCAGTTATTGCACTTGTACTGGTTGTATTGGCTTAGTGAAGCCATTCTAAAGCAACAGTTCAACATTTGTACATTTTAAAGCACTTGATCCTATCTACAAAGGAAATAAAGATGATAAAAATCACAATTTATTTCAACTTAATTGTGAATATTCTTAATTTTCAGAGTTTAA